GAAGAGGGGAGGAGTTAGGGGAGGAGTTGGGGGAGGAGTTGTTGAGGGAGGAGGAGTTGAGGGAGGAGGGGGAGGAGTTGAGGGAGGAGGGGGAGGAGTTGAGGGAGGAGGGGGAGGGGGAGGGGGGTGAGGAGTGCCCCCCACTCGGACATCGTGCCGCAGCAGCATTCACAGGGGACACCTACTTGTGCCTAGGGAGCAGCCCCGTGCCCAATTTTGGTTACTGTCCCCGTGAGGAGTGGAGGGACAGACCCTGAACAGACCTGGACCCCAGTGGCGGAGGGGCTCCGGCTGTAAAACCAGGCCGAGAGCTCCTTCAAGGGACCACTTCTGTCTCCAGACTGTGGAGGTGGAGGCAGGATTGCACACGTGTGGTAGAAGCGTATAAGCTACACACGCACGCTCGTGCACACTCAGGGGCAGGGACACCGGGTAAAACCTGAGGAAGTCTGTGGACTGCACGGGCGTCCACGTCCTGGTCATGGTCTCCCGCTATATTATCTCGGATGCCGGCACCGGGGGCACCGGGGGCACGGGGCCTGCTTCGGACAGTTCTGGGAAAACCCACAAGAGCTCCCCAAGTGCTGACGGAACCCAGGGTCCAGCCAAAGGTGCGTGCGCTCCCCTAACACGGGCTCCGGGGGCAGGGCTGTGTCCGCACCCCACCGGGCTCAGGCAGCACCGCCCTCCAGAGCAGGCCCCCGCTGGCCGCGTTGCCCCCCCTCACAGCTGGCGGCCCCCCTGGTGGTGTCGCACCCCCCAACAGCTGGCGGCACCTGGTGAGCAGGATGGCGGTGTCGTGGTGCAGCGGGTGCGCGTCCCCCTTCATGTTGATGCTCTTTTGCCACTTGCAGAAGCTGCGCAGGGTGTTGTCCGCGTGGTGCGTGACCTTCAGGTCTTCCTGGGGGCAGAGAGGGCAGCGCGGGTCCCTCCCCTGAGCGCCGGAGGGCCAAGCCCCATTCTCCTCCAAAGGCAGGAGACAGAGGCCCGGGGGCCGGGGAGCCCTGGTCCAGCCTCCAGGGACCACCCCTCCCCACAGGCCCATCCTGGGGGCACCCGACGGAGGGCCGGCCGGGGACCCAGGGGCGATGGAGGACACTGCCCGGGCCACGGAGGCCCGCCGTGCCCTTCCACACGGGGCCGCCCGGGTGACGGACCAGGAGGGCTCTGGCGGCCGACGCCCATCGCTGGGCAGCCCGCGGCCACGTGACCTCTCACCTCCTCATCCTCCAGCAGGACGAGGCGCACGATGGTAATGTGGATGGGGTTCCCGATGCTGGGGTCGTGAAACAGGCCGGCCACCTGCCCGAGAAAGGGGGGGGGGGGTCAGCCCGCCAGCCTGCAGAGAGGTACCAGACAGCCACTGCCTGCCTCTGACCACCCACGTTCTCACGCGGGGGAGCTCACGCAGCGCACCCACACGGGAACGTGCCCTCACCTGCACACACACCGCAGAGTCTGGACAAAAGGCCGGCCCAGACCCAGGCCCGTTCTGGGCACCAGTGTGGGATCTGCTCACCCAGCTCACCCACCCCAGGGCCCTAGTTTGCCTCCTCTGTCTTGGGCTGGGAGGCCCCGCAGCCTCTTCCTGCCCTGGGTTCGCCAGGACCAGCATCCCAGGACTGAGTCCTCCCACGAGGCAGGAGACGCGGGCCGGGACTAGAGAGGGGGCTGGGGCAGGCACAGGCCCCCAGAGTCTCCCCACTGCCCCACACTCAAGTTCTCCCTGGGGCACAGCCGTGGGGCCAAGACGGCAGGCGCAAGCTCTCGGAGGCCCCACGGCTGCACGGGGGCTCCCCACCCAGTCCCAAGAAAGGCCACCCCCAAAGACAGAAGGTATGCGAAGGTGCAGGGAGATGGGTGGGGGAAGCTCCCTCAGAACAAGAAAGAGGTCAGCCTGCGACAGGCATCAGGTTCCCAGCTGGCAGAGGCGGCGGGACAGGCCAGTCATGAGTTGGCTTCCAGCAGCTTCATCAAGAAAAATGATATTTTGATAGAAACGGACAAAACACACACTATCAAGAGGACACAAAAGCCCATTAACAGGATAGATTGTTTTTTGAGAACCCAAGGTGCCTCCGTCCACCTCTATGCACCACCCCCCTCCCCAGCATCAGCCGTGCACCGCCCCCTCCCCAGCATCATCCGTGCACTGCCCCTGTCCCCAGCATCAACCAATTCCACCTCCTGGATGTTCCCTACATCCACCTCCAAGGCCACCGCCCAGCCTGAGGCAACAGCCTCTCATCTGGCCAGCTGTAAAGGTCTCCTCCAGCCTCATAGTCACCTGCCACTGAAATGCAAACCCAGTCACCGTGCCCTTGCTGAAAGCAGCCAGTGGGTCTTCCTGTCCACAGGGTGAAAACAAAAGTCCCAGTCCCGCCCCACACGCTGACGGCCCCTCCATTCTCACTCCCTGGTCCAACCACTCTGGCTCTTTCAGAAGCCCTTCGTTCTCCACACCACAGGGCCTTTGCAGATGCTGTGCCCTCGGCCTGGAATGCCCTCCCTCTCGTCTTTCCCAAGTTCTGTCCTCCCGTCTCCAGCTCTCAACCCTCGAGCACATCTTCTGAGGAGCCTTTCTTCTGCCAGACACTCCCAGAGCACGTGAACGTGTCCTTCCTAGCAGCCCCTCTGCTGGCTTTCAGATTCCTCAAGATGACGGTTTCGCTGACATTGGTCTCCTCGGCCCCGCGGGGTCTGTGTGGGCCCTCTTCCAGCCCAGTGACCCATCCGGCACCTGGCGTGACGGGCACTCCAAAAGAGCTTTTTGAACAAAGGAATGAATCTTGGGCACCTGCTAAAAATTTCTGACGCCTTGTCTCATTCTAAAGAATTCGCAGAAGTTGAGAAAAGCACCCTGAAGGAAGTCAGGAGTCTTCCCTAGGCCACAGGCAGCAGGTCCCAGCAGAGGGGCCTGGAGGGCGAGAAGCCCCTAAGCTTCTGCCAAGACCGTCCCGACAGTTGGCCTCCCGTGTCCCGAGTCAGGGCTGCGGGCGGCTCCGGCCACCACCAGGTCCTTCCCTTGGCACGTATGACGCCTCTGCCCCCCAAGAAGTATAGACCCCAGATAGAGGCAGAGAAGTACAGAGGCAGAGCAACAGCGGCAGGACCGGAGGGAGGCAGTTGTCACCGGTCGACCCACTCAGCCAGTGAGTGTCTGCGATGGCCTGAGGTCAGTACCGGTGTTTCAACCGGATAAACGATCCCCAGCCCAGCTCTGCTGCAGGCCCGGAGAGCAAGCCTGGGTGGACTGTGGAAGATCTGGGGGTTACAGGTGACCACAAGCTTCCAGTGAGCTGACGGTATGACACAAGCCATTCAGAAAGGGGCAGGCGGGGAACTTGGCTTGCGATGCTTGGAGCAGACCCACCCGAGCTCCCACACACAGGTCTGGGTCTGGCACAGAGGGCACACTGACAAACGGGCCCACAGGAGGCCTGAGTAAACAGTGCGGCTGCCCCGAAGGTGGCTGTGGGGCTGAAGGGCAGGTGCTACAGCAGCCACACCAGCAGCAGCGGACACGTGCCAAGCCCAACGTGTACAGTCCTTGTACTGAGAGCCCTACCTGCAGTATATTGCTTAATCGTCTCACTTCTAAAGTAGGCATGACCGTCCCCATTTACAGGGAGAGCAACTGAGGCTCTAAGACAGGGTTCACCTGGGCTCAGAACCCAGGTTTGCCCCAAAGCCCCCGCTCTTAACTTCGGGAAATTCTCAACACATGTTAGCTTTGAAGGCTCTGAGAAGTCCCGCAGTAAACAGGTCTGTGTTCCTTTCTGTTAACCCTTGTTGCCAAACTTCTTCAACCATGGCACCTTTTTTTCACAGAACACTTATCAGCATCTCAGAATAAGTCCTCCCTGGAATATGCTTTGCGACATGCTACAAAGAGGCAGAGTTTGCCGGAAGGGAACCTGTTCTCATGCACCCGTCACTTTATCTGGGGTACAGCTGGCACTCGGCACAGCAGCGCCAAATAAACAAACACCTGCTCCAGAGGGAAGAGGGAGGGAAGTTCTCCCCACCTCCGCCACGGCTACCCCATCCTTCTGGCAAGCTCTGGCCACCACAGCCCTCTCTGGACCCAGAGGCACAGACTTGAGCCCCAGCCCCCTCCGTGTGACTGTGAACGTGTCCCTTGGCCTCTCTGCTCCTGTCTTCCCTCACCTATGAGATGGGGGTGAGGCTCAGGCAGGGCAGTGACTACAGGAGACCGAACAGGCCGGTGTTCGCAAGGCTGCAGCCATCACCCACGGTCCAGCCCTTCTCAGCGGCTGCTGTATGCCCCCCGTGTCCCTGCCAGCCCCTGCAGCCTCCCCAGGTGACTGGCGCTAATGGACTCATAGGGGTCCCCTCTCTGTCCCGACCAGTGCTTGACCTGATCAAAGCCCAGTGAACGTGAGGGCCAGACCCCCCTCCGGGATGGGGCTCACACAGTGGATGCCCGTGTCCTGTGAGCCTGCACAGGGAGGCAGGAAGGAGCCAGGTCCTGGGCCAAATGGCGACCCTTCACCCAGGAGAGGTCCGCCAGCCACTACTGGACCCGACAGCCTGGGGTCCGCCCTCCCACTGCCTACAGCACCCCCGCCGCCCCCCAGCTGCCCGGCCCCCCGAC